AACTAGACAAAACGGGTTTTAACAAAGACATTCAGTATAAACTAGTTTCAACTAGTTAAAACGCGTTCTAACTAAAAACGGGTTTTGTATGTAACATATATATATATATATATAAATGTATATTTAGTTAAAGTTAAATGTTTCTCACATAGATCATAGTTTGTTATTTTTATATAATATATATATATATATATATATGGGAATACTTGAAATCTGGTGATATTTGCCAGAATTAAAAGTACTTTGAGAAGTCTAAAACACTATATATAAGATTGGTTTCTAGTCCAATGGCAGTGTGCAGTTTCAAGGTTGTTAGCCATTGCTGATATAGTCAAAGAATATTATTTGATTTATAATCAGTCCAACCAGTGCTAGCCAACACATTGTGATGTTCACCTTCAAAATTTGATGCCAACATCATTTAACTTTGGAGTTTAACTTACTAAAGAACAAAAATTCTTTCACTTCTGATCTAAAGTTAAATGATGCCAACATCATTTAACTTTAGATCAGAAGTGTGTGTGTGTGTGTGTGTGTGGTTCAATGTCTAGTGAATCGCGATGTCTGCTCCGGAAACACGTTTGAACTGGCTAAAGTTGCCATTTTATTACTGAGCATACTTATTCAATTGCACATACAACCATCGTCGCAGAATATTATTACCCCGTTAACAAATTTAGATGATTCCATTCAAGAAGAAATTCAAGATTGTTTGGAAACTATACTTTTCAATCAAGATAGACTTGCTTTAGGAACCGAAATTGTTAATGTCTTAACTCACAGGAAAAGACAATCAGGTAATTTTTCTTTATGATAAATTTCTAATCTTTAAATGCTCGAGTTTCGTCACAAAACATATTTGCTCCCATTGTTATATTTTTAATAATAATTTTAAAAATTGAGTTAAAATTTTCTTCCTGTACGTAATTTAGAGTGTGTATAGAATCTATAATACATTAAATACTTTACTGTGATATTTAAAACATTTTTATAAATGTAAACACACTATTTTGCATGTAAACATTTATATTTTTAATTGTAAGTTATGTGAATATTTGTGTGTTAAGTGTAGCTTAATCTTTAATGGTAGGTTTGGTACCTGCTAGCTAAAGCCTAACGGCAAGTTAATCGTAGAGGTTATCAAAATTATGTATTAAACCAGTGTTTCTTAACCTCTAACGAATCATCACCCCTTTCAACGTAGTATCGCCCCCTTCAATAAAACCGTTATGTAGTATCGGTTTTATTGAAGGGGACTCACTTCAAAATTCCGATGCACAGGGTCAAGGCTAACTCCAAATTCGTACTGCATTGAATAGACTAGTGACTAGTATAATGTTATTTGTTTAGTTATTGTACTATATAACGAATAAAATATCTAATTATTCTTAATATAATGTTTTACTATATCGCCCAGAAAATTGTTTTTTGTCCCCCCAAAATATAAATTGTTACTAAACGCCCCCTCAACATGGAAAAACACCCACAATGGGGCGATATCGCCCCCGTTGAGAAATACTGTATTAAACATTTTGTTTTATCTTTTATGGTAAATTTCTTATCTCTGTTTTCAATACTTTTTTAAATTTTTGGTTTTATAGACTTTTAATCAGACTATTTAAGTAATTTCGTCCAAATTTTTTAAGAAATTTTTGTAAGTATGCTAAATACTTCATAGTTTACTATGATTAGTTTATAAGATTTTTACTATCAAATGTGAACTTTATTTAATCTTTATCACAAAATTTATATGAATGAAAGATATGCATTAATTTCAAATCACAATGAAGTAAAAATTATTGTATGAAGCATTTAGTTAAGAAAAAGTAAGTGCAAGTAGTTAAGTACAAAAATTGTCAGGGGGATCAATACTACTGAGAATAATGGGCACAAAAAATTCTTGCTTGCACCAGTAGAAGGGTTAATGGAATAAAATATTTCTATTTTTTTTATGCTTGCTTAACAACCAAAAATTATTTTTAAATGTTCTATTTTTTGTCATGTAAACTGCACCGGAATACAAGACACACCATCGTAATTTAGCTTTAGAAAACACTTTCGAGAAACTGAATATATGAAATTCAAAATCCCGGAAAGAGAATTATTTTGAGATAAATATTTTAGTGTTAACTAAAATATTTATCTCAAAATATTTGGACTTTGATTGACAGTGAGACTTGGTTTTTTTTTCTCTTTTTGTTTTAATGCAATGCAATTATCATAATGCTTATTCTAATGAGTCTAAATATTCTAACGAGTTTGGCTTTGAATTGTTAACTGACAATTTGATTGTAGTGATAGATAAACGAGATGAAATGAAGTGGTTTACTTTAATTTAATGGGCATTAGCTATGTGTGTCATTTGTTCCTTTACATAGTAATTGACAATACTATGTCTCGTTTCTAAAATTGCGCTGCTGTCAACAGCTGCACACCTTAGAGGTATGAAGGAGTACATATCAGGAATTGCAATTTGGCACAGAGTATTAGGTGCCCAAATCATGCGCACATATAATAAACCAGACTTGTAGGTAATTGGGGGACCAAGAACCAGGTCAAAATAAAATATGAAATGCTGAGACTGTTTCTACAAACAGGTGTGAATGCAAGATTTGTGCATGTGTTGCTCGTGCTCTCTGAGACATAGTCTCATCCCAAGACTGGCTTTGCCGTTTAACTTGTTTATAATCATGTGTACAGTACATTTCACAAATTTTAGTTGGGTTAATTTTGTGCACGGTAGCAAGAAACGAGTTTGTTTTTATTTGTTGGTACACAATTTTTTACAATATTGTTTTTTATATATATTTACATATGATACACCATTGGTCAAAAATGCCATATAATGTGGATGAAAAAGCAAGTTTTTTTGTGTTGGGTTGGTATATTTACAATATGTACAAACTCATTCACATTTACCCATTCATATAAACAAATATATACATTCATACATATACACTCACTGGGCTCACCTATATCACAATGATGGAGAAAAGTTATGATAGTTTATAAAGATGGAAAATAACCAGACATGATTCCAAAATGCTTTTTCCTTTTCTAAGAGCATTGCATAAATTAATTATACGAAAAGGGTATTATACAAAAGGTACAATTAACATGATCCAAAATAGACTTTTGGATATCAATGTACAGTACTATTTTTCTAAATACTCCAGAGTCTCATTTGTGTATCGTGCAGCTCCCAGTCTACTTGCATGAAACAACCAATATTTATTCTGATTAGTCAAGGACCGATGTATGAAAATTAGGAAAATTGGATTCTTATATATTGCGAGGTATTATCCCACACTTGTTTGTCAATATTCTAGGCATGCTACAATCTGAAGACTACCCTGTTATATGGAGGAAGATTTTATTGGGACAGATTGTCATAAAAATAACATTTTAAATGACAGAAATAAATTTAAAATATTAACTATTTATAAGTGGATATCAGTTAATAAAACTGACAGCCTAGTACTCTGGAAGCCCTGGAATTGGATCTGAATAGGTCGAAATTTTTCAGAGGGTATCTGTCTGGATCTTGGGCCCTGTCCCTTGCCACCCAGCCATCCCATAATGGAGCTGGCCGAACCTGTAATGGCCTTGCTAAAGGACCCTCTTAGAGCCCACAGAGTGAAAAGAGTTTAAAAGAAGTTACTAAAACTAACTGAAAACCTCTATATAAATGGTGTTTAAAATTATTTTCTAATTTATATCTTTAAATTATTGATCCAAAATAAAAAATTTTGTAGCCCGTAATGTTATTTTTGGCATGATTGTTTTCATATATGATTTATTTATGTAATTTTAACTGTAACAATAACATTCTAAAAATATTTAATTTTATTTGTAAATTATTAAAGAAATTTAATAATTTACAAAATAATTGAATATGTAGATATTAAGAATTAGCATTTTATAGATCAAAAAATATATTTTGTTATATAATCCAATTTTAATAATTTTTTTTTAAAGCTGAAGTAATTTTCATATAATTTATTTTAAGATTTGGATGCATCGTCGTCCTCCGTCACGTATAAAAGCAGCACTCCTACCATAGGGAAGTCGTTTAATCCATTTAAGGTGAGAGGAAGATTGCAGTTTTCGAGTACATCACCAGTTTCTCCATTGATGGCATTTCTAGAATCCCCACAATTGGCAGAAAAGGTATTACCGTAGCACTGACATCTGGCTAATGTACTAGAATATATTTTTATGATTTGCATTGGAGAGATTTAACATTTCTTATTAATCTGTGATATGGATTTTAAAACTTTTAATATTAATCTGAATTAATATTTTTTTTAAAAAAAGTTTAATATATATTCAATCAATCAATCAACATTTATTTGCTATGGCTTTTGCCTTTTTTAATATATATTAAACATATATTAAACAATTTGAAATTTTGTTATTTTTATTTTATAAATAATTATTTTAGGCAGCTCTCAGAGAGGTGACGTACTTACGGTCTCGTCTGTCTATGGAACAGTCAAGAACATTAAATTTAGAAGGGGAATTACAAAAACTGCGAGAAGACTTTGATTTGAAAAGTATGTAAAATTGGCTATTTTGCTTACATTTATTAATTTTTTATTTATATTAAATGAAACATTGAATATATATCAAGTGTAAACAAATAAAATTTTAAGTATAATTTATGTAAATGTAACCTCTGTAGGGTTGATATGGTAATGTGGGTCACGCGAGCAGTTGTGTGTGTGGGTGATCAAGCGGGATGGAGTGAGAGACAGCACACTGGGAGTGACTCACACAGAGACTAGGATAACAAAACAACCTAGTTTATTTAAGGAACAATTTTATTTAACCTAGTTTATTTAAGGAACAAGAAAAATACATGGACCCTGGAGTTTATGGGCCTATTGCAGAGACAAAGTTTAGAGGCCGATGGCGGTTTACAGATCTGGTAGACCGCTGTTCAAAAAAATTTCATTGCAGAGACGGCGTTTCTCGCTTGCCACAATGTAGACAGCAATTAGAAACAAGTTATTTGACCTACTTTCTAGACTCACTGGACAGCAGGTTTAGAGGGCTTTTCAATTCGAGTGGAGGCTTTGTTCGTGGAAAAGTTTAGATAAAAACAGATATCTTTCCTTCGATAAATGTTGTAAACGGTACGAATCAACATTTATCATTATTCATTTAATTATTCAACAAAATTATTCATTAATTAATTGCTTGGAGCAAAAACAACAAAATTAATTACTTTAAATTTGTTTTAAATGTTCCAATTTCGATATTCAAATGGGCGAAGACTTAAACTTTGATTTAATTTATTTACAATTCGAGTATCGTGTCGGTTATAAAACGTTTATGCATTTTGGAGTCATTGTACTGTTAAACAAATGTGACAATTTTAATAATTACAGAAATCTGTTTATAGATATTTAAAACTGTAATATTAATAATAAAATATTTAAAATTATTCATTTCGACAGTAATGAGATGTCGAAATAATTCCTTAAAAATCTATTCCGAAGACGAATTTCGAATTCGGTATAAATTTTCTAAATATGGATTTGTTCATATTTTAAATCGTATTGGCAACGAAATTAAATAACGAAATAGAAAAGGATTGTCATTAATTGCCGAACAATGATTTTGACGGCCTTAAGCTTTCGGAATATAGCTGACGACCATTTCTGACGTCACGAAGAAATAATCCGATTGGCCGAACGACTCCTAAAACAGGGGAGTAATAGCGAAGTAAGTAAGAGCCAATGT